GCCAGAACTCAGGAAAACACATTTGCTGGGTTATTAGAGGATATGATAAAGGATACAGATGAACAACCAGATGAAGAGACACAAAGGGCAAGGTCTGGGTGGGTGACAAGCACCAGAGCTTCTGTCCTTGTGGAGTTGGGGCATGTCATCCTCCCAGTGTGGGTGTGCTCACCAACCTGGAGGCTCTTCAGGGATTTTTGTGGACGCTTCATCCAGTAGGCATGATCTGCAATTAACTTCATTTTCAGCCCTTCTCCCCTCTCTAGAGAATGGGGTGGAGCTGAAAATTCCAAGCTCCGAATCATGGTTTGGTCTTTCTGGTGACCCGCCCCCACCCAGGAGCCCACCCGACATCATATTACTAGAACAAAAGACACGCCTGTCACCTGGGAAATTGCAAAGGTTTTAGGAGCTCTTTGTCAGGAACCAGGGACAGAGACCAATATATATTTTACATTATCTCCCAGTGTCCCTTAATTACTGAAAGGCACTGGAATGAAGGCATGCTAATGAAGTACTGAGAAGGACTGCACCCCTGGTTTGGGAGCAATGGGTGACAAAGGGTATCTGTAAGGATGAATGAACCAAGAATAACCACTAAAAGTTGCAGAACATTATACATAGTATGATTGCATTGGCTTAAAATTTTTTAATTATATGTTCCCAGGAGTATATCCACATGTAGAAAAACCATGAAGAAAGATATGGGAATGATAAACACCAAACCCTGGAGAGTTGTTACTTCTGGGTGACAGGGAAGCAATGCACTCAGGGAGAGACACACAAGGGAATTCAGCAATATTAGTAGTTTTATTTCTGGAGCTGAGTGGTGGGTGCAAGGGTGTTAGCACCATCTGTGCACAACAGTGTTTGTTTTTTTAATGTCTCAGTTTCAATGACTAATAAACATTGATAAATACAACCACATAAACAGGAGCTTTTTTCGGTTCTCAATTTGTTTCATGTGCCTGGTTAGTCTTTTTTTTTTAATCTTGGTAAAATATACATAACATAAAATTGACCATTTTCGCCACAGTGGTGTTCTTTTAATGCTACTGGCTCACTTGTAATACTAAATATGGAATGGTATCAACATAACACAGAAACCAGGTCAGTTTCGTATGTGATTTTTCTAATATGTTGGTATTTTGAAGTCGTCAATGTAAACTTTCTCACAAAGAGAAAGCCTTCATCCTCTTTAAGGACCCTAAGGAAAAACTTGAAAATCCCACAGAAATGCCTTCCTTTTGTGGATATAGTGGCTAACTTAGTGGCTTCAAGGACCTCTGCATTTTTCACTATGTTAAGCTATCTGGGGAAGTGAAGAGAGAACAGATGAGAAACTATGAAGTTACTTCTTATATTTAAATAAAGTTATTCAAGACAGCTATCTCTAGATTTTATTTTCAATTTTGGTGAAAATGGTCATTTTTGGACACAAGTATCTTTGTTTTGTTTTTTTACGGTATGATTGATATACACTTTTATGAAGATTTCACATGAAAAAACAATGTGGTTACTACATTTACCCATATTTTCAAGTCCCTACCCATACCCCAGTGCAGGCACTGGACACAAGTATCTTTAAGGGCCCTCACCTCTAAGGAGGACACAGGAATGTCAGGATATAAGGCTGCAAAGGAAGACGGAGCCATGCAGCAGCTGCCGGGAGAGAGTGAGCTGGGCCAGGGTGTGTTAGGCTGCTTATCATTCCATCAGGGTTCTGCCTACAGACTTCTAAGATCTTGAGTGGCTTCTTCCTAACTCTATTTTTCCCATAAGCCCATTTATTTTTATTGCATGATTTGACTAGACATGAGGTCTTTCAAAAATGCAGAAGAATTGTTTTTAATCTCTATCTATACTTACACATTCTACATAGTTAAAAATTTAAGAGAAGGCTGCAAAGGAAAAATAATCTAAGTAGGAAAATTATTCTTGTCTGCCTGCTGGGCTGATGTTAACCTAGGGGTCAGATACATCAGAAGGGCCTAAAATTATAAGGAAAATGTATCATTTCAGACAACATAAAGTTCCAAACATGGGGCAGCATATGTAGAGCAGATCACTTCCGTCTTCCTCTTCTCCATCCTTGGCACCTTGGCTTTCAGCCTCAGCTGTGCCCTCATGGTCACAAGATGGCTGCCACAGATCCAGAGCTCACAGTCATACAATTGTTTTCAAAGGTAAAAAAGTTTTTGCTATAGAGTCTTTTTTTACTAGGGAGAAAACTCTCTTTCCAGAAGTCCTCCTCCAGATTTCCTTCGAGCCCCTGTGGCCAGAGTTGTATTACATGGCTATGCCTTAGCTACTAGAGAGGCTGGTAAATGAGTATCTGGTTGTTTCAGCCATTAGAGAGGGAGGCAGCCCTGCCAGCATGGAAGACACATTGGATATGGCTCTTAGGTTGGCAACCAGCACTGTCAGCCAAGGCAGTAGGTAACCAGACCTCTGTTCCATGATGTCACCTTTAAACTTCTTCCAGCAATTAAATTGCCTTTCCATCACAAACACTGTAGTGTAACCACACCCTCAAATTCACCCTGTACCTTCCTGCCTCCTGTCTTTGTACATGCAGTTCTCTATGCCTAGGATTCTGCCCCTACCACATCTGCTTTTAGACATAGAGTCCATGTTTAAAGATGCCACTCAAACACTGCTATTTCCATAAAGCCTTCCAAATAACTGTTCAAATTTAGCAGCTCTCCCCTCTGCGCTTCCATAGAATAGCACCACAGGGTCTGGCACAGGAGCTGCAAACTGAACAAATCTGGTGAGTTGACCTGAACTGTTTTGCCTTTTGAGCTGCAAAAGGAAATGTAATAGCAGGCTTCTCTCCACACAGGATAGCATTTGAGAGGATTTGAGGGAAATAATGTTATATAAAAAGGCTACCCCAAATGTTAACATTTTCTTTTTCAGTTATATAGTGTGTTTTAACCATAAAAAAATGCCTTGCCCAAATCATTGAGGAAATTTACCTAAAAGCAATTATTTTCCTCTCCCAAATTATTTGAATGACTATTTTAACCCTTTCAAATTCTTTAACTTCAAAGTACTGGTCTTCATGGATTTTTAAACTGCTTCTCAAAATTAGTAACATGTTAATAATTGTTGAACCTGGGTGATAGGTACATGGGAATGCATAACATTACTCTATTTTTGTGTATGTTGCTTAAATTAAATTAAATTTGCTTAAATAAAATTAAAAGTGAATTGGTTCTCCATGGTTTAGAATCTTTGAAGCCTATGGCTATGTATTTAGGGGAAAGTATAGTAGACATTCAAATGTTACACATAGGAAATTAGTTTCCACTCAATTCAGACACAAAATCTGCAGGCTTTTTGGTAGGATTTTCTTTTTCACTTCCCCAGATTCAATGAGTCATGAAGCTTTATTCTTCCATGTACTTTTGGCAAAAGAGCGCCAATATAGTGTGTGGACACACCCCCATTCATCAGTGATGGTAAAGCTCTTCTTTGTTGATATGCACTTACTCTTTTGATGCGTCTGTGGCCATGTTGGGTCTCTGTCAGGTAGCCTCCAAACGTGATGGTGTCACATTTGCTCAATTAAGCTAGAGAACTTTCACTTCGAAAAAAACATTAACTTTGACTTGGCTGACACCAAATTTTGTCAACAACAGCTAACAAGAGAAAAATTAACCAAAATTCTTTTAGGTGAGATAACAACTTTACTGTTTAAATGATCTCAGCAGATGTCTATTTCGGTTGATAAACAAGGGACTCAGAGGGTGCATTTTATCACATTCTTTTGTACAAGGTATACACAGTGGAGCTTCTTCCCTTGTTTCCTCTTGCAAAGTTCTGTCTGTTCACCACAACTTAGTTGAAATTCTGCCTCCTCTGTGAAACCTTCAAGACTGAGGTTTTATTATAATAAAAACAATTATTACAGTCTTAGCCAACTTGCATTGAACTTTCATTATATAGAGGCAACAGGCTGAAGAGCAATTACCTGCCTACTCATCAAATTCATTTAGGAAGAATATTAAAATTAGATTCTCAAGTCTCTCTCCTGGAGATCCTAATGTGGTAGCTTTGAGGTGAGCTCTGGAATCTGCACTTTAATAAGGGCCCCCTGGTGATTCTTTAGCCTGGGCAAGTTTAGGAAACTAGGTGAAAGGGTTAAGCCATAGGCCCTGGACACCCTTGGGTGCAGACTGCCTGGGTTTGAATTCTGGCTCCACCACTTGCAGTCTTAGAAAAGCTACTTAATATCCATAAGCCTCAGTTTTCTCATTTGTAAAATAATAACAACAATAGTACCTATCTCATAGCATTCTGGTGAGATTTGAATGAGATAATACCAGGACAAGATTTGGGGGAAGTGATTTAAGAAAAATAATTTTTAAATATGTTAAATTTGCAAATTTTATGAAAACATATGGCCATATGAGCACATTGTTGGGACCCCTCCCTAGACACTGAAGTTTAATTAACTTCATGGAAAACCCACTGCTGAGTAGCTAGTGTTTCCTTGTGCTCAGGCTCCATGTTTATTGTTCCATTTAGTTTTTGCAACGACCCTATGAGAAAAGTGTTATTATCTCCAATTTATAGTAGGAGAATCAAAACAGAGGCTTAGGGAGATGGTGGCCTGCCCAGGACTCTACCAAAAACAGCGCAAACCCAGGTCTACCATGTCCATAGCCGACTAGTGTCAGGCCCCATACTGAATATGCACGCTCTGTGCATAAAAAAAAAATCCTCTTTTTTATGTGAATGACCTTCTCAAAGTTAAAGAGATACAAAGAGTCTTACGTTGGCTGGCTCTCAGTATCCAGTTCACGCAGACTCTAGCAACTAATTGCTTAACCAAATTCTCAGGAGGCTGGCTGAGCACACGCAGCATCAGTGAGTTCATGAACAATGGGTGGATGTCTGTCAACCTGATCATCAGCCCAGACAAGGGGCAAATCACAGGTCAGAAGACAGTTGAATAAATCTGGCATCAGAAATAGGAGTTGGGCGCCGTGGTGAGATATTTTCATCACACTAGGCTAATGGATGAATGACTGTTTCTCCAGGGGAGAGAGACATTTGCCCAGTGAATAAGGGTAGAGGTCAGGAGGTCAGGAATTAGAGCATCAACTTTCAAGAGAAAGCACTGGGTAAAGGCAATACATTCTTCTCTCTAGTGTTCCTTTTAAAACAAATCTCCATAAGTAGAGTTTGTAGAGCTATTTTGACTTATTTAAGTGTTGCAAAGCACAACTCAACCTGTCTTAGGAAATGTATTGGCTCATGTATCAGAAAAAACCTAAGGACAGAAGATCTAGGCCTCACTGCAGCCAGATTGGCATTCAACTGATTTGCTCCTTTGCATGCGTTGCTTAATTCTCAGGCTCTCGAAGGAAGCAAGAGAGCTAGAGCTGCTGCAGCCACAAGATTCAAGTTGAAGTACAGCTTGGAGGGGGAAAAAGCCTCTTTGTAGTGGTTTCAGTTTAACTGAGCAAGAGGAATGTGATACACTAACGGTGTGGCCTGCATCATGTCTTGTTCCTCTTGAGGCAAAGGTGGAGTCCCAGACACCTCAAGGGTTGTTGAGGGGTGGATGCCCAAACAAAACCAAAAGGCACTCTTGCTGGGGTAATAGGGAATAGAGGTAACTTGGCTTCATGACCAGCACATTAAAGTACAGCTGGCAATGCTCATTTTCTTCTGACAATGACATCCCAGGCAACACCTTCCTTGGGATACACCCAGTCAGCTTCTCTGAGCTTGAGTGTCTCCCACAAACCATTTTGTACCATGGACAACTTCTGCAGTTGACTAAACTCCTTTAACATGAGTGCCTCAATTTCCCCATCCATTATAAAAAATATATATACTCTTTTAAAATACATATATAAAATACTAAAGTATATGAAAAGCAAAAACCTTACCACAGTGGCTCTGTGTAAGCACAGCCATTATTTCATATGTATTCCATTCCAGTCTCTCTCCATGGATAAAGTTGGCTTTTTGTCATGGTCTTGTTTTCCACTGTCATCCTCCTGTGTATATTTCTACTTTTTTCCTTACTTAATCGTAACAGTTTTTGCAGATTATTACATAAACTTTATGACTGTAATAACTTTGCATAAAATATTTTAAAAGATTACTACTAAAGTAATATATTTGTGGGGAAATAATTCAAGTAACACAAAAGTGTATAAAGCTAAAAAGTAAAATCACCAGATTTCAAGAATGTAGACTAAACTCACACTGAAATCTCCACTTCCTTATAAGACCCTAAGAAGAGAGTTTGAAGATACAAAGAGGAAGGAAGGAAAGGGAGGGAAGGAGAAAAATAAAAGACAATATAGCCACTTTTGAAAATAAGAACGAGCCCTCTCCAGAACACCTGAGCAGCATTCCTTAAGGAAGAGGAGATGGGAAATGATGTGGTAGGAGGCGCTCCCTCTCATAACCGCCTTGTGGGAATTAGTGCAGCCAGGCCACAGGGGAAGCCTGGGGTGCAGACAGAGATGTAACACAGGTGAGTGGAGCTCACCCAGTCTCTGAAAAAAGCCAACACCATCTACAAGAAACAAATATCTCAGCAAAAGATGGAACTTACACCTGAGAAAACAGTTACCAGAACAAGGAAAACCTGAAAATTAGGGATTTCAGATTCTTAGAGACAACATTCTCAGTCTCAGCTGTGTGCTGGAATCACCTAAGAGCTTTTACAAGTGGGATGCCCGCTGCTCCCCAGAGCAGACTTAATTCCTCCCAGACTTCACTACCCCTCAGTTAAGTGGGAATTTCTGAGGACCCAAATGTCTGTATTTTTAAAGTTCCCAGTTGATTCCAATGTGCAGCCAAGGTTAATTCCAGCTCTTCAGTAGGGAACCATGTCTATGAAATGAAAACAACACATGATCAGAAGAAAGAATCAGTTCAAGATGCTGAAAATAAAATACATTGTTGATAGAAAAAAAACTAATAGTGGCCTTAGTATCAGATTGGACATGACCTTGAAGCTAGTCTCTTCAGATTAGTCACTTCCCAGTATTCATTTAGTCCCTTTCCTCCCACTGCCTTCCCTCCCTCTCTTTCTCTGTTCCCAATTCTAGACCCTGTAAATACAGTCAAAAGAATAACAAAAAAGAGCAACAAAAGAAGTTTCCAGGAAACCAGCAGTTGCAGGTCACGGGAGTTTTGTGAATGTGCTCATTCCGACCATCCAGGCTCACCTCTGCCTGAGCCGCAGGCCTTCAGGGCACACCTGCAACTTTCAGTGAGGGTGCACATGGAGAGGCCTTAGAAGAAGGGATGGTTCAGCAGACATCATGCTGCGCCTTCACCCTCTCGTTTCTTGTCCCCCACCTCCCTCCTAGGAAGATAAAATCTGACTAAATGATTAATTAGGACAGCTCTGAAGGGAATAATAGGCTCCAGAAAGCTACCTGCAGGGTGTTGTGGATAAAATGAAGGTTCCTGTGGCCAGGACTTTCGCCTGGCCCTGGTTGGCTAGCTCACTACACATGTGGGCAATACATTGTTGTTGACTCTATATAAAGAGGCCTGCCCAGTGCTCTGGGTGACACGGTGGCATGGCTGCAAGGTTGCAGGAAAGTGGAGCAGAGACTGGAATGGTGGCAGTGCCAAGGACTGAGGGCCAGAGGACAGCTGTGTGGGCAGAGAGGCCCAGAGGCAGAGACCAGCTTGCTGCATGCAAACTCACTCTGAGTGGACAAGATTTTAGTGATTGACCTACCACTGTGGAAATAAAAGTTGGGTATAACCCTTTCACCCCAAGAATATTCTATTGTCATTTCTTTGGTCACATTGAATCCATAGTGAACTAGCTAGGGGCTGAAACCCATTGGCAAGACAGATGTGAATGAAAGGGGGTTCTCCATCCCACCCACATGCCCTCTGTACCTGACCCCAGCAGCTACAGAGAGGGCAGAGAAGGACTTGCTCTGTCCTAGGGGCATCTTGGCAGTTGAATGACAGGGCAGGGGCTGGCACACACCCCAAGCACTGACCTTATAGGCCAGGAAAGGAAGCAGTGAGGAGCTGGCATTTTGGAGACTGACCTGAGTTGAACTTCCAGGCTGCCGCTTACTTGTTTGGGGCCTAGAATGCCTTGGATTTCAATCTCAGGTGAACAGTTGAGGCAAACGTCTTCACTGAGGTATTCAGAGGCTCAGCGTCTGTGCTGGGAATAATTTTGCATACCTCCTGGTATAGGGCTAAAGATTAAACTGGATAATGTAAAGCCCCTAGTGCAGAGGAGGTAACAGATGGTCCACCAGTCTGCCCTCCTGAAGGAAGCAACCGCTACGCCCAAGTCTGTTACTAACCAGAAGCTGCTCTCTAGGAGTTGAGAGCTGAAACACACAGGTGATAACTGTAACATTCTCCCAACTGTTTTATAAGCATGTACTTCTCGCTAGGCACATATTTCACATATTCACAATGCCCGTTGATAACTATTTTTAGGGCTGTGAAAATGTCTTGGTTCATACAACTTTCTCCAGATGTTTTTATGTGCATTGGATTTGATTTTTCCCACAATAAACTGAGTAAATTTAGCTTTGGGGAACCGTTAGCACTTGCATTTTGATCACTGCAGCTGCTGAAAACGCAGCTTCACAAAGATGAATGGCATGAAGAAGAATGTTGCATAATCCAGCGTCAAAACTGAGCCTTCTCGAGTTAGTAGTGCATGTGGTGCTCAATATATGCTTCCCTCAAAAATGTAACCTCTCTCGAAGCCTCGGTAAGTTCACTGTAGCTGGGAGGGTGCCTCAACCCACATTTTGAGAACCATGGGCCTAGCACATGGTAGGCATTATGTAAATATTTGTTGCATAAACAATTCATTCCCTGTCGGGTCCTACTAGAATCCAGGAAGCTTAAGCAGAACCAGGAAAACAAGAGCCTCTAACACTAGGCTGTCTGTTACAGTAGCCATTGGTGGCTATTGAGCACTTAGAAATGAGGCCAGTCCAAATCGAGATACACTGAAAGTATAAACTACGTGCCAAATTTCATAGACTTGGTACAGAAAACAAAATATCTCACTAATGTTCTTATATTGATTACATGTTAAAATGATAATATTTTAGATATAAACTTAAAATTAATTTCACCCATGTCCTTTAGTGGTTTTTAATGTGACTACTAGATTCTAGTAAACTTGAAATTCCATATCTGCTTGCATTATACTTCTGTCAGTCAGGGCTGTTCTAAGCATTGAACTCTCATGATCAAGGCTGATATCTGCCTAGTCCAAGAGCCCATGAGGCTGGGCTCCTTGCTTCTGGGCCATGAAGCATGGGAAGAGGATTGCCACCTTCCTTAGCACACAGCACAGCCATCCCCCCAAGGGGTACCACTACTAGGTCCTTCTCCGGGAACCCTACACCATCTTCTTGCACCCACAGGCCTCACCCACCTCCACCTCTCCTGGGACACTTGGCCCCACCTATCACCTTAATGGATTTCCTTAAAGACTGCAAGAGCCCCTGGCTTCAGGCCCCTTTTGCTCCCACCCACTTCCCTCTCCAAAAGAAACCCTCAAGGCACAGGCACCCGAGAGCAGCTACCTGCTTGACAGAGGCAGAGAAGGACAACCAAAAAGAGAAGAAACATAACTGGTTACTGCACTATACTGTCACAGAGCTAGTTTAGGTGCTAGTTTTTACTTGTGATGATTGCTTTATTAACGAGTACGAGCAAGAAAAATTAGCATATTTATTTTATTCATGTTGTTATTTAACAAGCACTTATAAAGCAGATATCACATACCAGCTGCTTCTCAGAACTGTGTACAAGTACTAACCCATTTAGTTGTCATAACAAGCTTATAAGGGAGTTCCTATCATTGTCCCCATTTTACAAATGAGGAAAAAACCGGGACACAGAGAAATTCAGTAACTAGCTCAGTCACACAACTAGTAAGTGGCAGAGTCAGGATTTGCATCCAGGCAGTTTGCCTTTAGACACTGCAGTCCTAATTACATGGTAATTACTGAGAGTTCCTCTTGTGAAATGAATTTTTTAAATGTACTTATTGTTACAATCTGAAACTCATTTTCCTTTAGGTTGACCTTTACAGTCTATTTTAAAGATCATACTTTTGCTTCTGTATCCATCTTGCTATACCACTGGTTAAAACACTTGGCCTGTAAAATGTGACCTCTTTCGTCTTTTCCAAAAACAGCTTTCCAGGAGAGCTTTCTCCCTGATGCTATCAGACTAGAGCCATTATTTTTTTTAACCATTCAGATAGGTGCAATTTGATAGGTAAAAGAAACAAGGTTAAGGTGACTCTGCCAGAAAATAAATAATATAATTGGGTCATTTCACAACCAATATCACCATTCTTCAATTTGCAAGTGAGTCAGAATTTTAAAAAATAGACCTGAAATATATATAAAGGAAATAGAAGGTATAGCTCTATGGCGCTCTGTCATCTCCATCCATAAGAAACCTAAAAATCAGAAGCATTCCCACCAGCCTGATCCTGATACCACAGCAAGAACCTCCAAGCAGATCTTTGCCAAACAGGTGGGATGGAGAAGCAACCCCAGATGGAAGGAGAACAATGGTACATCTGTCATCACTTGGTAATTGTGAGCAAAGGCCAAAGGAGACACAATTGCACCAAACCTCTCATACCAGGAAGTTGTTAGATAACAGTATTGCTTGGAAGCATAAACTTCATCCTTCAATTGCATTAGCTATGCCTTGACTTTCATTCCTTTGGGATCAAGGCCATCTCAACTCTGGCAATGGGGTCTCCAAGAAGAATTCAACTGACCCCCTAAGTCTACCCACCCAATCAATGCCCTGTCACCTCTGACCCTCAGACTATAGGTCTAGGCAGGACCACTGAAGGCCCAGCTGTGTAGCTGATGTTCACTTTGTGGCTGGGCTGATTTTTCCTGTGATGTTTTGGGATCCCAATTGTTTTGAGACTTTATTGTTTACTCCCACAGAACAGGTTTTCAAATTTTAGTTAGATGTGAACTCCTCAAAGGCAGAAGTTTCTGAGTTATCTTTGTAATCCCAGGACTTGGCACAGAGAGGCCAGCACAGAACTCAACAAAGGTATGCTGCATGAAAGAAAGGTAGCCAGTCTTTCTAAAAGACCTGGAGGGAACATTTTAATGGGCTTCCTTTTCTCTGAAAATATTTTTCCCATAGGTGAGAATATAAGGTATATACAATACAATCCTACTTTTTTTTTCAATTAACACGACATAGGCATTTTCCTGTGTACCATTGTCTGAATGTTTGTGTCCCCCACCAAAACTCTTATGTTGAAAACCTAATGCCCAGGGTGGTAGTATTAGGAGGTGGGGCCTTTGGGAGCTGATTAGCTCCCAGATAGCATTAGTGCTCTTATGAAAGAGGCCACAAAGAACTCCCTGGCTCCTTCCATGTGAGATACCACAAGAAGTCTGCCCCTGGCAGAGGGCCTTACCCAGCGGTGCTGGCGCACTCACCTGGGACTGCCAGCCGCCAGAACTGTGAGAAATAACTGTCCATTGTTTATAAGCTACCTAGTCTCTGGCATATTTTTTTTCAGCAGCCCAAATGGCCTAAGACATTGTGTTACCATAAATTCTTAACATTTTTTAGTGTATGTAATGTGGCTGATTAATATTCCATTGTATGAATGCATCAAAATTTTCTAAACCATTCTTCTGGTGTTCAGCACTCAGAAATCCCATTATTAACTAATCTGCATAAAACTATGACCAGCTCTTTCACCTGCATTTTGACTTAGTTTCTTAGGATTCCCTGAACTGGAATTACTGGGTTAAAGGAATCAACAGCTTTTTGCTAATTTGATAGTTTAAAACATGTTATTTTGTGGCTTTAATCTGTATTTCTTT